CATCTGCAACCACCAGGTAAGTGAAAAAAAAGGCCTCTTTGAGATTCCACCTTACCTCAGTCAGAACTGCTGTCACTAAGAAAACAGCAGTGAGCTCTGCCGAGGAGGACGTGGAAGGAGGAGCCGTGTTGACTGCTCTTGGGGCTGTGAAGTGCTGTACCCACCGTGGACACCGGTCTAGAAGCGTCTCAGAAAACTACAAGTAAAGCTCCTACGAGACCCAGTGATGCCGCGGCTAGGCCGGCACCCGGAGGCCCTCAGTTTGACCACAGGGACACTTGTGCCTCCCTCTCTGTTGGCCAGACTGCCCAGCAGAGTTAGAGGTGCCCGTCAACTGGAGGGGCGGATAAGGAAATGTGGCACACATTTTACAGTTTACTCAGCTGTAAAAAAAAAAAGAGAGACAGAGAGATCATGGGGTTTCCAGGAAAATTATGCTAAGTAACCCAGACGCTGAAAGACACATTACATGCTCTCTGTCACATGCAGTACCCAGATTTTGCATACAGATCCACAGCTACATACGCATGTGGGGATAGAGTTTGAAACCAGAGTGGGGACCATGCGGGGTGGAGACGGAGGACAAAGCCGTGTGGGGAAGCACAAACACGTGGACTGAAGGGGACGCGGCAGAGTGGTCAGCGAGTGTGCACTGGAAACCGCACTGAAAGCCTGACGTCATACATCCCTCTTTCCAGCTGCAAACTTCTGCATGTTTTGTGTTTGGTCGACAGTGGCTTATAAAAGGAGGTGGGTTTTTGGAGTCCACTGAAACACACTGTTTTCCTGTCTAGTAAGGTTGTCTATATGCTGCTCGCTGGCTGTCCACTCCCTGGCCCTTAGAACCCACTGAGCTCTGTTCCATAGCTGCTCCTGATGTTACAGGTCTCTCTTGGCCTCATTTGGGCAGAGCTGAGTTTTCAGAAGTGTTTTTCTCTCTGACCATTAGAAGCTTTGCCAGTCACTCCCCTCGTCTGTTCAGATTGTGTTGTCTGCGAAAGCCCACTGAGGTTAAATGGGTGCCTTTGTTTCTTAGTATGCCAGCCTCGTCCTTACTGCATTTTACTGGGATCTTAAAATAGCTCTGTGCTGATGAATTTTTAAACCTTAATTACCTAGAGGGCTGCAACTCTTTAATTTTTGTTTTGCTTGAAACAAGGTCTCTACATAGTCCTAACTGTCCTGGAACTCACTATGTAGCCCAGGCTGCGTCTGCCCCCCAGGTGCTGTGATTAAGAAAGGCATGACCACCATGCCTGGCCAGCTCTTAATTAACTGTGGGGGTGGGGCACATAGGTGTGGAAGTCAGAGGACAACTTCTGGGAATGAGTTCTCTGCTCCCACCAGGTGAGTCTCCGGTTGGATATAGGCAGCCAGGCTTGGCAGTGAGCACCTTTGCTGCTGCCCCAAGGACTGCACCTCCTGATTCACCAAATTGTAGGACACAGGGTTCTGTGAGTCACACAGCCACGCTAGACCTGGCTCCACTATTGAGTCTTGTGTGTGTAGGCAGGATGGCTTGTCACTCATTTCTGTCCTAACGTTTTCTAATACAGACTTTAATCTCTTGGAAGCTTGTATTGACTCAACTTCTTTTTCACAGTTGTGTAAGAATTTTTCTCAGTGCAAAGTTTCAAAGAACCTAATGTTCTGACATTTTTAAACAGTGTATTTTAAAGGATGTGGAAGTTCAGAACCAGTAAAGAATGGGAGAGGCTTTTACAGTACACAGTTGATGTTTTCTGGGCTGGCTACTTTCTCAGGCCTGACTACTTAGAGAGTTTACTCTAGCTTAATTGCCGTTGCTATGACATACAGTTCCAAGTCACAGTCCTAGGAAAAGCTTAGAACTGTGGGAAAGAAATGAGAAAAAATGTCATCAATACATAAAGTAAATAATAGTTTGTTAAAGTATATACAAATCAACTGTAAAATATTGAAATCTATCAAATTTTCATGCTTACAAAACAAAAAGAAGCTAAAAATCGTACACAGCACTTTCCAGTTGAGTATTGAGAACATTATAAACGAAGGCAAACATTGAATTCTGTATGAGTGAGTGAGCACTGTAATAACAGAACCAGGTGCTAGTTCTTAGACAGTGCGCTAAGGTGTTGCCAGGAGGCTCCATAATGCCCACAACACGCTGAGCACCCCGTGGGCAGTTCCTGTCGGGGCACTCTGCCCTAGCAAAGTGATTCTGGCTGCCGTTGGGCTTTTCACCACTTGTAGTTTAAAGAACAGCTAATGCATGCTGGTTGACAGCTAATGCTAACTAGTGAGACTTCTCATTGGCAGGCCAGTAGTTAGGTGCTTGAATAGTCAAGTTTAGTTTTGGATTTTTGGCTTCAGGTATAGGGGGGGTTGGCATGGGCGAACCCGCCTGTTGTTGGAGGGTCTACTATATGTAAAATGTTTCATTAACATAGATCCAGTTAGGCACAGACTCCGGCCCATCATGGATTCTTCAGCACCACACCCGTGTTGCAGAGTGTGCCTGAAGTTAGGAGTAGGTAGGTGGAATGGGGAGTTCATGGGGTTGTGATGAGGGTGATGGTGTGCATCAGCCTCAGTCATCACAGCTGTATTCACAGGCTGTCATGTGTGGCGCACTTGAGGGGAGTGGCCTGAGGCCCTGCTGGCTTCCTCAATCATTCACAGTGTAGAACAGAGGCTGACTACATGGTAATTATCAGGGTTGGGGGCCGTCTGGTCTTTGTTGTAACTACAAATCTGCTTTGAGGAAAAACAACCATAAACACGTCAAATGAATGAGTTGGCTGTGTTCCCATAAAACTTTATTTCAAAAACAAAGTTTGAGGGCCCTGTCTTCGGGGGTCTGCTTTATCTTAAAAGAGGTAAGGTATATGAAAAATATTGAGCAAATATTAATAACCAAAACCCCTTTATTCTTTCAGTCTCTCTTTTGAAGAAGTTACACCTATTTTTTGTGCGTGTGGGGGTCTCACTTTCCACGGTAGAGGTGGGAGGATAACTTGTGTGGGTTACTTCTCTCCATCCACCACAGGGCCCCGGAGACTGACCTCAGGCTGGGCAGTGAGGCCTCTAGCCAGGAGCCATCTCACTGGTCTTCTTTCTTTAAACGAATGACCAGGTTGAAGTTACAGTGAAATGAGTGTGTCCATTCATGCAGTTCATGCCTTGACTTTGACGCATAGTGAAAGGATGTTTTGTTTTCTTAAGATGCCTTTATGATAGGTGGCCGTTCTTTCCTTGACAGATAATGATAAAAATCCTCTTTTAAAAAGAACATTTCTTTGTATGGTGTGTGCATGTGTATACACTTGTGCATGTGTGTGAAGATACACTCCCCTATGTATGTGGGGAGGTGTGTACACGTGTGTAGGGAAGGTTATACGCTTGGTGAGTGTATACACGTATGTATGTCCTCACCTGTGCCTCTGTGTGTCTGTGTGTGTGTCCTCACCTGTGCCTCTCTGTGTCTGTGTGTGTGTGCGTGTGTGTGTCCTCACCTGTGCCTCTCTGTGTCTGTGTGTGCATGTGTGTGTCCTCACCTGTGCCTCTCTGTGTCTGTGTGTGTGTATATGTGTCCTCACCTGTGCCTCTGTGTGTGTGTGTGTGTGCATGTGTGTGTCCTCACCTGTGCCTCTCTGTGTCTGTGTGTGTGTCCTCACCTGTGCCTCTGTGTGTGTGTGTGTGTGTATGTGTCCTCACCTGTGCCTCTCTGTGTCTGTGTGTGTGTGTATGTGTCCTCACCTGTGCCTCTGTGTGTGGGTGCGTGTGCGTGCGTGCGTGTGTGCGTGCATGCATGTGTGTCCAGAAGTTTACTTCAGGTGTCTTCTTTGTTTTATCTGCCGAGTTCATTTGAGACATGGTCTCTCACCAAACCTGTGCTCACAGTTTGCCTTGACTGGTTGTCCAGTGAGCCTTGGGATCTGCACTCACCAACACATGTGCACGTGTCTGTCTCTATGGCACTGTCCTTTTCTGCTGTCTAGTCTTCTCCATGAGGCTGTGTTACACTCACATTAGACTGTTCTCCATAAATCTGTTACACTCACATTAGACTGTTCTCCATGTCTGTTACACTCACATTAGACTGTTCTCCATAAATCTGTTACACTCACATTAGACTGTTCTCCATGTCTGTTACACTCACATTAGACTGTTCTCCATGAGGCTGTGTTACACTCACATTAGACTGTTCTCCATAAATCTGTTACACTCACATTAGACTGTTCTCCGTGTCTGTGTTACACTCACATTAGACTGTTCTCCGTGTCTGTGTTACACTCACATTAGACTGTTCTCCATGTCTGTTACACTCACATTAGACTGTTCTCTGTGTGTCTGTGTTACACTCACATTAGACTGTTCTCTGTGTGTCTGTGTTACACTCACATTAGACTGTTCTCTGTGTCTGTGTTACACTCACATTAGACTGTTCTCCATGAGGCTGTGTTACACTCACATTAGACTGTTCTCTGTGTGTCTGTGTTACACTCACATTAGACTGTTCTCCGTGTCTGTGTTACACTCACATTAGACTGTTCTCCGTGTCTGTTACACTCACATTAGACCGTTCTCCATGAGGCTGAAGGTTGAATCTCATCCTTTGCCCCATCGCTTATGATCCCCTAATCTTCCCACTTGGCTGTGGTTGGTGCAGGACTCAGGTCCCACACAGCAGCCTGATCTGGAGTTTCTCTTTTTAGTAGAAGAACGCAGAAGAATGGACATTGCCCGAACTTTTTGAGAGAAGCTGTTTGTGCCCGTCTCCTGGATCCATGGAGTTGTGCTGGCCCTGAGCCCTTTCCTTCCTTTGTATCTGTGACCTATCATATGTCTTAAAAGCCCGTTGCTTCTTTTTATTTATTTAAGTTAGCAAAAACCAGTTTCAGTTGCTTTTATCCAGAGATCTCTAGCAGTATGGCCTTAATTAATCATTCTAACTTTCATATTGATTGTAATTTTTTTTCTTTCTTCTCTTTAAAAAAACAAAAACAAAACAAACCTAGCCAGAGACCGTGGCTGCTCTGAAACGTACACTGGAATCCCTGATGGACCGAGGAGCCATAGTGAGGAACCTGGAAAGCCTTGGCGAGCGCGTGCTGCCTTACAAGATCTCCAGCCATGGCCAGCGGCACAGCAAAGGCGGGTAAGTCTCTGTGAAACGGCTCCATGGGCTGAGGAACGGACACTGACTGCCACAGAGGCCCCATCCAGTCCCTACTGTACAGTTGGTCTTCAGGCGTCTCTTAGAAGGCAATGCTGTACGGCAGATGCTGTCTTAGTTAGGGTTTTATTGTTCTGAAGAGACGCCATGACCACCACGACTCTTGTAAAGGAAAACATTTAACCGGGGCTGGCCTACAGTTCAGAGGCTGAGTCCATTTTCATGGCAAGGTTGTGTGCTGGAGAAGGAGTTGAGAGTTCTGCTTCTGAATCAGCAGAGTGTGTGAGCCATTGGGCCTGGCTTGAGCTTCTGAGAGCTCAAAGCCAATCACTTCCAGCAAGGCCACACCTGCTCCAACAAGAACACACCTCCTGATAGCGCCGCTCCCTGGGGGCCTGTGGGGCTGTTTTCACTGGAGCCACCACAGATGCAGATGTCAGACTGGCTTTGGTAGGCAGGTCAGAACAGAAGCTGTGAACAGAGCAATGGGCTCGTAGGTTTTCAAACTCAGACTCTTTTTCCCTTGACATTGAACTTTTGCCTTCAGAATGCCTTGGTTGCATATATGCAAAACAGGCTCCTTTGGACTGGAGCCCGAGCCAGCTGCACCAGAGAGAAAGGGTCTGACCTACTCCAGACAGTGCACAGTTTTCTGTCTGTGTGCTCTGCAAGCCACTCCTCTCTGGCACTCAGAACTTTTGCCTTGGGCAAGCTTCTCTGGACGTCCTCGGACATTGACTTCAAGTCTCACATCTGCAGTGTCTTGGGAATGGAAAGAGAATGTACAGCTGTGTGCTGGTCGGGGGCAGCTTTATTCCTGTGGGTCTCCCATGTGGGCAGTGGCCTGGGCTGCACTGCATTTAAACCCACTGCTGGGTTGCGCCAACTGCAGACATCCTCAGTGCCACACCTTGTTTGTGTTCGGCTTGAGAGCCCATTGCCAGAGCACCTGAGTGTTGCTAGGAAACAGGCAGGGCACAGTGGCTGGGATTCTTCCACAGTGGTAATAGCAGTGAGGGATGGTGTGCGCGTGCATGGCGGGGCGCACGCCCTTTCTTCACTTCTTTCTTTTTAACTTAGCCACAGAGTGGTGTGGCTTTCCCACGCGACCGGCTGTCTTTGCCTTTCTGTTTAGAAGGAAGGGGCATGTGTGTCCTGTGCAGGAAGGATTGTGTAGAAGTCAGTGTCCTCACCCATAGGTGAGGCCCTCCTTGTTGTAGGTATTTTCTTCATTTGACAGATTGCTTGTGTGCATCGTGCGTAACCAAGAAGACATTGCACACATGACACGTCACAGAGAGTGCACTGCTTACACATGGTTAAGAAACGGGACAGGCTGCTGGCCACACACTTAGCACTTACCATTTTGGTTCGCTGCAGCAGCCTGGAGGCTGTGACAGGTAGTTGCCGTTTGGACAAGGCACTGATTCAGGCTCTCATGCTGTGTGCATGAGTCAGTGTGTGTTTAGCGGCCTAATTAAACGGCCTGCGTGTCCTTCAGGAGCCCACGTTTCATGGCTATGACCATGATGAGACAGCGGTATGTTTCAGCGGCATCCACAGTCTCTGCGTGATTCTTGGCATTGTCACGGTTGCTGGTGTCATAGGGTTTTCAGTCTAGTGGAAGTCTTGGTGTGTGTGCTAGCCTCGGCAGCGTCAGTGGGAGTCTGAGTAGTGGTGCCCCCACAGCAGTAGTGTCTGTCACATGTCACTTGTCAGCATGGCCAATTGGTGCCACTGCCATTCTCTTACGGACGTCCCTAACGTGGCCCCGGGTTATGCCCCAAAATAATGTCATTATTCTAAATGCTAATTTGGTCAGACCCTACTTGAAAAGCAGATTATATTCCAGAGACTGGTCTGCAAGGCCCTGTTACTGGGACCTTGTTTGCTTCCTGGAACAACTTGATGGTTACATTCCATGACCCGTACATAGACAGTTGCTTATTCAGTGTCTCCAGGGCTGTGGAATTGGGTGGGTTGTTTATGCTGAGCTGAAGACCATTTTAAACTTTTTAGAAAATGTTCTTGCGTGTTCTACCTGGATGCAGGTGCCTGACCTGCTCACCCTTATCAGAGATGAGAGAAGTCCTCAGACACCTGTACCTGGTGTGTGTACGATTTTCCGTGTTCCCAAGGACAGCCGTGTCCTAAGACAGTTGGCTGCCAGGTCTTGATCTTGGGGACAGAGCAGAGTTGAAAAAGTCCCTGTGCTGCTTGGGCCCAGAGGGAGAGGTTGGGGGCTTTGGGGCTCCTGGGTTGGCTTTCCTGATGGAAGGTTCGGCTTCAGCCCCTGGTAGTGCCTGGAAGCCTAGAACACAGCCTGCGGCTGCAGTTCTTAGACAAGCAGGGAATCATCCTTCGCTGTGGGTTCGCTCTGGTTCCTTGTGGGCCTTGTGCCCTCCCGTGTTCACCCTGAGGCCTGACTGTTGGTGGAGAAGGTACCCTTGTCGGTAACCCTGCCTGGCTGCCTTACCTTGCAGAGGGAGCTGCGAGGGAAGGGGCTCCATCGGCCGTTGCTACAAGGGGCTAGCATCTTCCTGAGACCTAGTGCCGCCCTGCTGCGCGCACAGCGAGCAGCCAGCCTCCCAGGCCTGTGCTCCCTGGGAAGTTCTTTCCACTCGATGGGGCTGGGTGGAGAGTGATCTCTAGAGCAGGAGGGAGTAGAAATGATGTTCTCTGTTGCTGAGCTTGTGTCTCTCGGGTTACCTGTGGCTGACCAGGCCTGTAATGTAACGGCTGCGGACTGGGCTGGCTCATGTCCGTAAGAACCAACCGTAAGGTGTGGAAGGGGGGCTGGCCTTAAGTTTGGTAGGTCCTGACAACGGCAAAGCTCTCCGGCTGACATGCAGTGTGCTCTAGCGGTTGGCAGGTCTGGTGGATGTGGAATTTTACTGACTTGCTCCCCAAATGTGTCTGCTCTCTCTGAGAGCACTGGCACCCTCTCTAGAGGAGGCCCGTTCTCTTCTGTACTTTTCCTGTTCGTTAACATTTCAGTGTCTTCTGTGCTCTTAAAGTGTTCCTGCCAGCATCAAGTGAGGCCAGTGTTCTGGCCCCGTTTGTGCGTGTAGGAACCCTGCAGCTTGTGTGGGGGCAGGGATGCTGTGTCCTTGAAGGTTTCTTTTAGGTGGCATTTCCCCAAGATCTGTAGAATTCCTGGTTTTTAAAACACACAAGACCCAGCAGATAGGAAAGGAAATGGGGTTTGTCTGTAGACAGCCGTCAGCTCTAAGGCGAACAGTTGAGTGCCCCTGTGAAGTCTGCAATGAGTGAAGGAACAGCATCCACACAGATGCCTCTTGTCTTCACACAGGTCCCAAGATGCTCTGGGCTGCAGAGCCCTCCCACCCCTCCCCAACTCCCCCACCCACTGGGAGCCACTGAGCACTTCAGTGGAAAATTCCACCGTCTGCCATTGGGAAGGGACAGTGACAAAGAACATAGCTCCGGTTTAAGCAAGCTCTTTTTGTGGGGTTCAGGCAAATGGAACTGGAAAGAATGCAGCCTTTATAGCTAAGACCACTCCCAGGAAGCACTCCTTCTCCGCCATCTCTAGCGGCAGGGCTGGGAGTTCAGTTCTGGGCATCGACAGCCCTGTGCCAGATGCTGACCTTGGGGTGGTGAAGGGCTTTCAGAGGACTGGCAGGAACCGAGGCGGGTTTCCTGGGGGAGCACTACCTTGCAGGGAGCCAGCTTGCGAGCATTGTTCCTGGCGTTGGGCATGGCCTGCCCTGCAAAACCGAGTCTCTGGGTCCTCTCAGCTCAGGAGCCCTGGTCCTTGTGGAGAGTTTTGTGATGTTAAAGTGACTTGAATTCAAAGGAGGATAAGTTGTCATCCTCAGACCCGAGTGTGCAGAAGTACTTCACTGCCCTCCAGACTTGAACATTGTGTCTGTAATGAGATGTGGGCTAGTGCACTCAATCTGTTTTGACCCCACCCCTCCCTGCCCAGCAGCAGTGAGCGCCCACCCCTCCCTGAGCAGCAGCAGTGAGCCCCCACCCCTCCCTGCCCAGCAGCAGTGAGCCCCCCACCCCTCCCTGCCCAGCAGCAGTGAGCGCCCCACCCCTCACTTCCATTTCTGCAGGGTTGGCGTGCAGCTCTCTAGAGAAGGGAGATGCTTGGGAGAGCAGGTGTTCACTCTGTCCATGAGAAGGTTCCGTAATTAGAGCCACACATGGGAAGTAGACCTTTCAGCATAAACACCGTTGGGCTCTGTGTTCAAGGCTGCCATAGGGATATTCACACTTCCTGGCTGCCTGGTGTGCAGCACGTGATTGAAAAATGCCAAGTTGTGTGGTGTAATTAGATTTTAGGTTATTGCACTGATGTTTTCCAGAAAGATTTGTCCACTTACTGGTTCAATTACTGATTAAAATAAAAACTGAAAATGGAAACTTAGTAACTAGAGTGTTTCTTTACTATTACTTATTGGAATGTCCTCTTATAGGCCTCTCAGGGCTGGTACAGATGGGTCGTAGCTCTAGCTCTTCCCACCGTTAGTGAGGAAATGCATGGAGATCAGAGAATCCACATGCTAAGACTTCAGTGTCGTGTTTCCGCCTTGTGACTCCAAGACATAGGAAGCACTGACAGCTTTAGGAGCCAAAAAGTTATAGAATTATAGGTCGTAAGTGGTAGATACTTAGATGATAGGTAGATGATAGATAGATAGATATACAGACAGACAGACAGACAGGAAAACACAGCCCAGCTGGCCAAAGGACTGTTCTAGAAGGCTGAAGCCCTGCGCATCTAATTGCTTTGGCCTTCTGAGGCTTGTCTGCAAGACACATTTGCTTAAGTTTACTTAGATAGCTAGAAAGAGGAACAGTGGCTGTAAGCAGCTCTGTGTGAGAGAGACCGGGCCACGCAGGCCCAGGGCTGAGGACCACTGGCAGCTTAGGGTTAGGGTAGCTTGGTTTTGGAGGCGGTGGCAGCGGCGGTGGCGGTGCTGCTTTCATGGAGAGGTGAATACAGTGTA